TTAAACTCAACAGCAGGGGCACCTGGGTGGCTTAGTTGATTGAGCGTCTGCTGGCTCAGGTCATGATCCTGGAGTCCGGGATTGAGCCCTGGTCGGGCTCCCTGCTCAGCAGAGAGCCTGCTTCTCCCTTGCCCTCTGCCCCCCCAACTCGTTCTCTCTCTCTCTCTCAAATAAGTAAATAAGTAAATAAAAAATCTTTTAAGAAAACAATAGGGCGCCTGGGTGGCTCAGTCGTTAAGTGTCTGCCTTCAGCTCAGGTCATGATCCCGGGGTCCTGGGATTGAGTCCCACATCGGGCTCCCTGCTCAGTGGGGCCCTGTTTCTCCCTCTGCCTCTGCCGCTCCCCCTGCTTGTGCTCTCTCTCTCTCTCTCTGTCAAATAAATAAATAAAATATTTAAAAAATTAAAGAATAAAAAAAGAAAACAAATAAACTCAACAGCAGGGGCTCTGGCCATTCAGGGCAAACTACGAGATGCTACTTGGGCACCTTTGGACCTCACCTGGAGCAGGCAGAAAATGCTGATGAACATGTCAACTCCAGAGAGGAAATAAGGGCAGTGGCCTCTCTGGGCAGACCCAGCATCCATCCCCTATTCCTGCAAAGCTGCCTGAGTGTCCTTTCCCACATACCTGGTAAAGACACCAGCCGCTAAGCCAAAAGTGGTATCATTGGCTCTTTCCAGAACCTCAGCTTCAGTGTCAAATGGTAAAATGGACATAACTGGTCCAAAGATCTCTTCTTTCACGCAGGTCATATCGTCTCTGCAATTAGCTGCAAACATCGTAAAAGAGTCAAACATCAGTGAAGGAATGATCGTGCTTGGTGCTTGAAAATATCTTTTCCACAGTAAGCACTGAAATACACAGCGGTAAGAATGCCTTGAGAACCCTACTCGAAACATCGGATGCGTATCAGCCAAAGTCTGAAAACCAATCCTCACGTAGCTACAAAGATGGCAAGTCTACGTTCTCTTAAAAGGTTGTTCAGAGCTTGTGTATATATAAAGTACAAAAAACACTCTGGTCACCTGTATGTCACACTGTACTTTGGGGACACCTGAACTATCTTAAAGATGTAATAAATAACTCTTAGGTTGTGCTTAAGGATAGTTCATTATGTTCTAATTCTCCGAAAACTAGTAATCCACATACGACATTTAGGGAAATGATTAGCCAGAATATTAAGTTATTCAGGACAATCACTACCCAAGAATCCCAGGAAATATTTTATTATCTCCTGCAGGTTGGTAACACTGCATGGCTCTGTACGCAGTGAATTCTATGTCGGAGACTCAAAGGTGATGCGGGCATGAAGTAACAGGTGGCAGGCGAGGGAAGGAAAGGTTCCTGTCTGAAACGGAACACGCACTGTACTTTGGCCCACAAATCTTTTTTAATTTTTTATTGTTATGTTAATCACCATACATCATTAGTTCTTGATGCAGTGTTCATGATTCATTGTTTGTGAATAACACCCAGCGCTCCATGCAGAATGTGCCCTCTTTAATACCCATCACCGGGCTAACCCATCCCCCCACCCCCCTCCCCTCTAGAACCCTCAGTTTGTTTTTCAGAGTTCCATAGTCTCTCATG